AGCTCCCGGACTCGGACGGCGGGCGGGGATCGCGGGCCTGGGGGCTGGAGGGGACCCGGCCTCCCGCTTCCCTGTTCCGACGCCGCGACACCGCGAGCGAGCAGCCGGCCGGGAGCCCGGCGTTGTATTGCGATTGGCACTTTATGCTGACCATCGGTAACGGACATTTATCACTGGAGTTTTTTTTTTTTAACTATTAAATAAACGGTTATTTTACAGGCATTGCAGGATGGATACTTTCCCTCCCAAACGCAGGAAACCCGGCGGCGCCTCTTTGAGAGGAGCAGATTTCTCTGCTCCATTCCAATGTCCTAATCCTCCACCCATCGTATTAGGACGACAGGGCTGGGAAGGTGGAGACACCCCCTCTCCAGGTGTTTGTCTGCCTCTGCCTTACCACATAAAATATTTTCTTACTGTTCTCCGCCACCTCGGCAGTTTGGGCTCAGTGTTCCCACTCCTCATCTCTAAGGGGTTGTGAGTTTACAAAGAGCCCAAGTCTCTGGCGGTGAGAAACCCCAACATCTCAGAGTGCCGAGATCGCTTAGGGTCCATTAAGAGGACAAAATATCCCTCTCGCCATCCCCCCCCCCAACCCTCCACTAGCCTCTGGCTTTGTTTTGTGGTTGTAAGAACCCATCCTCACGGAGCCTCAGAGCAGTGCTGTCCCGGTTCCCCGTTCCTCCAGGTCCCAACACTTAACTGCTGATACAAAGTCATCATTGCCCAAAGCCCCAGACCTAGATCTCTCTCCTAAAAGATTCCCCAGATACAATTCTCTGGTTGGGGCTGTTCCCCTGCTCTGATCGCCACTCCACACCCGCTAGGATTCCCTATAGTTTTAAAGCCTTGTCAGGAATGGCGGGGGAGGGCGCCCCGGGGCGCTTAGGAAGAGAAATCTGGGTACGCCCTCCACTAATTGAATCGTCCCTGGGGCGTCTAGTTTCCCCACAATTAGAGACCCGGTTGCCAGGGCTCTCCTGCTTGGGGAGGGGCGGGGCTCCCCCGGCTCTAGCGCCGGGACCGCGGGATCGCGAGGGCCAAGTCCAGCGCGGCCTCCCGGGCTTCGGTGACCCGCGCTCAGCGGACGCGGTGACGATTTGAGCTGAGCTCCCCTGCAGCGGGGACCCAAATTCCCAAGCAGGATCCTGCGGGCTGAGAATGTGGTCGAAGCTTCAGGAGTTAAAACGCTCTTACCTTTCCCAGCCCCATCCCCACTTCCTGCAGGAGCGCCCCAGGCCCTGTGCTGACTAGAACCCGACGTCCCAGCATCCCAACTTGGCACCGAGGCTTGGCAGGGCCAGCGCGGATGAGCCCTGCCCTCTGCGATCAGAATCGCACTGCCCCCTGCTGGACAGACCTGGAGGGACGGCGCAGGATACATCTCGGTATCCTGCCCGCAACCCCGCGAAACAGCCACTCATATTTGTGTCTGGTCTCCAAACCTTGACTGACCCCAGGGCGCACTTTGAATGCATGGCAGAGCGCTGCCGAGTCTGTCTGAGGCATCTCCACCATCGGGGACCATCCTAATCCCTCTTCTACCCAGATTCGCAGAAGGGAATGAAAATTGGGGTCTCTGGGTGTGTGGAAGTAGAGTTTGTCTGCAGACTTGGGGTGTCGACGACCTGGGCCCAAACGGCATTTGTCATGGCATGGTCTGCACTTGGCCATGGTTTGTGCTAGGGCCAACTGCAGGGACCACGTCCCTTTATGAAGCCCCGCGAGGTTGGGGGTCGTGGTTGCTCCAAGACAGAGAGTGTGACGGTCTCTACACATACACAGCCGCTAAGGATGGCTTTGCTCACTTCTGAGGACCCGACGAAAGAGCGCCCTCCCTGGTCCCTTTACTCTTTCTGGGATTCTGTCGAGGAATTGATTAGGGCGGATCTCCCGCTCCCTGCCCCCATCCCTCCATCTCCCAAAACACAGAGAGTTTCTGCAGGTCGCAAGGTCCCAGGACATCATAAATGCTGGGAAGTAGGGGAGGTTTGCCAGCTATGTTAGTCCTTTCTAGCCCATCCCAGGGCTGTGAATTCCCGCCCTGCCCAGGGCCTGAAACTAAGACTTTGAATATCAAGTGTGCATTCTCGAAAGAATGGACTCCCGATGGAGAGTTTAATGAGGGGCAGGGATTGGGGCAGGGTGCTGCCCAGTGACACCCCATCCTCTCAGAATGCCTCTATTTGCTCCACGGACGGCTGCTGTCATCCCGGTGGACTCAGAGACCACTTCTTAGCATATAGCTCACCGTGCCGTCGGACCCCTCACTGGCCACAATTCCTAGGCGATGCGGTTGGTTGATGTTGGAAACTGGTGTCCCAGGTTCCTGCTCAAACTCAGTGTGGGTTCATAAAAAGCACAGTTGAGAGGGTTAGAAATGCTGTGTGGGTTTTCCTGTCTGCCCCAACTCTTTTTTGATAATCCCTAGAAAGTTCCAATTCCTTTTTTCTCTTCGCCTTCCTCCACCCTCCACAATAAGTTTCTCTGGTCAGAGTGGTTGTCTTGGGCTCCCAGCATAGCTGGGGCTGGGTTTCAGAAACGAACGATGCCGGCGGTGCTGACCAGCTGGAGTTTAGCTGGGGCCCTTCCCAAAGCCTGTAGGTCTGCGGTTTTTCTGCACGGGCTAGGGAGCTACCCGGCCTCGGCCTGACTTCTCGGTTGGATGCATAAAAGGCGCGAGAGCCCCTCATAGCAGCCTAGAGCTGCCAGGTACTCGCTCTGAAAAGAGATCAGGTGCGCCCTGCATGGTCTTCTCCCTAGGAGGAAGAGCTTCAGGTTCCATTCCCTCCTTCCAGAATTTGGCTAAAGGTTTGGGATACACTAAAGGGTGTTTTCCTGTGTACTTCCTTGCCGCGGGATTCATTGAACTTGGAGGGGGGAGGGACGCAGTAGGATAGGGTTCCTTGTGGTCACCTCAGCTCCAGGAACGTAGGACCTGCGCTCTCCCAAAGCCCCCTAAGATCTTGATGCCTGGAAACCCGGCTCAAAGGCGTTCGATTTCGTCTTCCAGAGCACTAAGGCGCTGTGACGTCACGGCCTCCCACCCCCGGCAGACACAGTGACGTCACACAGACCTCCCGCAAGAGCACAAGGGTTCCACCTTGTCTACAGCGGCTTTCCATTTACGTAGCTTTATTACCTCACAGACCGGCTCCGCCTAGAACGACGATACCCGCATTTCCCCGCCCAGTCCTGCGAATCCAGCCCATGGAGGCGCCACAAATCGGTTAGTCTCCACGGAAGGGTTGTCAGGTGTCCTGAGTGAAGGGAGGTGCCTGGTAATGTCCTCCTTCTGAATTTGGTGGCTTAGGATTGTCTCCCTGCCGGCAGGGTTTCAGGGCACCAGCCCAACGGCTGCATACTCATCCCGCCCATCTGGCTCCGCCCTCCCCCCGCCCTCTTCCCGCCGTCTTCCCGCCCTCCTCTCGGTCCACCACGCAAGCTCCTCTCCTCCTCCGCCCGCCTCTCCTTCGCGCATGCGTAGACGGACCTCTCCGGCTCCGGCTGCGGGCGCTGGAGCGCCGGGTGCTGCTGCGGTGTCCCGGCATCGCTGCCAGATTCTGCGTTCTCCCTCCGGGGATCACAAACTCAGGGAGACACTGGCACTGCGGGCGCATCCTGCCTTTGGCGTATGTGAGCGCTAGAGATGCAGACGAGGAAGAGCGTGGCTCTGAGTTAAAGTGGGCTGGAGATCCTGGAGTCCCTTGACTTTGAGTGTCCAGTCAACGCAGTGGTCCCACGGAGGTCCCTGGGATTCGAAACGGCAGAGAAGGTGCGACCGGTCCCTGCCTTAGGTCAAAAAGTCCGTTGCGATTCCCTCCCTCTCGGGTGAGATCTCTGAGGCAAAGGTGTCGGCCCCCACCCCGGCAGAACTTCCTGGTCTCTCACCCTACCTGTGCATCCCGACTTATCTGGGCCATCTGGGCCAGACTGGTGGTTGACCCGAGTTTGCATTGAACCTTCACGTGAGTGGCAGAGCAAAAATGAAAGGTTTTGTTTTATTTGAGGCGAGGAGTTAGAAGACCCAGTCCCAGTTTTTCCTGAGACCCGCAGGCTTTGCGCAAGTCCCCACGCCTCCATTCAGTTGATGCAGAGGTAAAAGTCAAACACATTTTGTCAATGTGCTCAAACACTGACCTCAAGAATGTATTATAGAACAACGTTGGCGTGTATAAAGTGCCATGTAAATGCTGATGATGACGATTAGAAATGCTTCTCCCAGCATTCTGAGCCTGCTTCTCAAGCTGCCTTCTTCTTAGCGGAGTCCACCGGATATCCATTTTATCATAAACCAGGGATCCTGAAATGGAATAAGAGAGGAAGATCACTTGAACTAGGAGTCTTCTTGAAACCCCAGAAAAAGCTATTTTCAACTCCATGGGGACCAATGGATTAATCAATCCACAAATTATCATGTTTGGTGGTGAAGATGTGTCAGAGCCCTATGTAAGAGCTCTACTCATCACTGCTTTGAGAAACCCAGAAAGTAAAAAACAACCCGGGACATACTGAGGTGTGGGGCTGCAGAAGGGGCCTGTGTATGTGGCAAGTGTGACTGCATGGATAGGTAGGTGCTCAAACACTGA